TTTCCTGTAAGAACAATGTCATCAACATAGACAAGAAAATAGATTAGTGTGCCTTTTGAAGAGTATATAAACAGTGAGGCGTCGGCACGCGATTTTCTGAATCCCACGGAAATAAGAAACCGGCAAAGCTCCATATACCAGGCACGAGGGGCCTGTTTAAGCCCATATAGAGCCTTATGTAATTTACACACATGTGTAGGAAACTGAGAGTCCCGAAACCCAGGCGGTTGGACCATATACACCTCCTCCGTGAGGGTCCCATGTAGAAAAGCATTGTTCACGTCTAGTTGCCGAAGAGACCAATTCCGAGCTAGGGCAATAGATAGTATGATACGGATGGTAGCCGGTTTGGTGACCGGACTAAACGTTTCAGAGTAATCACGTCCTGGTTGTTGTAAAAAACCGCGAGCCACAAGCCGGGCTTTGAATCGGGAGATGCTACCATCTGCATTCCGCTTAATGCGAAATAGCCACTTACATGTTATGGGAGGCTGACTGGTAGCAGGAACCAGACTCCATGTATGATTCCGACTCAAGGCTTGCATTTCATCCTGCATGGCAGCAGCCCATCTTGGATCAGACAACGCCTGCTTCACACTGGTAGGTTCAAAGACTGGGGTAATGGGATGTTTAGTGGTAGCATTGAGGTAGGGTCCACCGATATATTTAGGGTTGGGAACGCGTGATCGAGTTGGTCGGGTGGATGGGTTTATGGTTTGTGGGTTGGGATTTGATGTAGGTGGGGTCGGGTTGGTGGAATTGGGAATAGATGCATTCGTCGGTGATATGACCGAGGTCTGCATGGGAATGGAATTGTTATGGGAGTGGGTAGTGGGGTCTCCAGGTAATTGGGAGGGGTTGATATTTGGGTTACTAAGTGGGGGGGAAATTGACGAATTATGTTGGTTATTAGTGTGGTGCTGAGTGGATAAGGATGAGTTTGGTATAGGTGGAGAAGTGTTAGGAGATAGAATTTGGTAGGTAGGGTGAATTGGCATGGTAGATGGGCACGTGGGGGGATAAGAATTAGGTGGATTTTGACTAGGAAGGGTTGTTGATGATAAGGACGAATGGAGCAAGGTGGGTGGGACCACGGGCGGCAGTAACATGCATGGAGACGAGGGAAACGGGCTGGACACAGACACGAGATGGTGAGATCGAAATGGAAAAATATGATGAATAAACCGTACATGACGACTCGTATAGATTCGATTGGTATTTGGTTCCAGACATAGATAGGCAGATTGAGATAGAGAATAACCAATAAATATACATGGTAAGGACCGAGCATAAATTTTGGAGGTAGAGTATGGACGAAGCCACGGATAACACAAACACCCAAATGGTTGTAACTTTTTGTAATTGGGGTGACGGTTATAGAGACAGAAGTAAGGCGTAGAATAATTAATGGCTGAATTGGGAAGCCGATTAATAAGATATACTGCTGTTTGAAAGGCATAGGGCCAATATAATTGAGACAGACCAGAATAGTGAAGCAGGGCAAGTCCGGTCTCAACAATATGCCTGTGCCGTCGTTCAGCAATACCATTATGTTCTGGGGTATGAGGTGGTGTGGTGAAGTGAGAGATGCCATGGTGATTTAAATATGACCGTAATTTAATGTATTCACCCCCGTTGTCGGTAAAGAGTGATTTAATTTTACGGTTAAAATAATTTTCAACCAGGCGATGAAATTGAGGAAATATAAGGGACACATCACTTTTATTTTTTATTGGATACAACCAAGTGTACCGAGTGAAATAATCCACGAAACTAACGTAATACCTATATCCATCAATAGAAAGAGTGGAGGTACTCCATACATCACTGTAGATTAACTCAAGTGGATAATTGGCTTGCATAGTATTTAGAGAAAAATGAAGTTTAGTACTTTTATTAATATGACAAGAGGAACAATGAGACTCGTTCAACGAAATGTTACATGGAATAACATTTTTATTTTGATGGACCAACATATTAAAAATACGACGAGATGGATGACCAAAAATATGATGCCAATGAGACGAAACCGAGACCCTGGAAAGATTGACTTGTGGAGACCGTGGTGACTGGACGTAGTAGACATCATGAATGTTCTCCCCGCGCATGAGCACTGCCCCCGTGGCCCGATCCTTGACAAAAAAATGGGTAGAAAAAAATTCAACAGAAACAAAGTTAGTTTTGCAAAGTTTAGCAACAGAGATTAAATTTTTATTAAGGCTAGGAACACAAAGGACATTGGAGAGAGATAAAGGTCGGGATTTAGTGGCTAGGCTAGTTGAACCAGTGTGAGTAATAGTCAGGGAGTTACCATCACCAAGATGAACCTCATCCGGGCCGCCATAAGTAGAATAAGTCGGAAGATTGGTGTTGTCCGACGTGACATGATGTGAGGCTCCGCTGTCAAATAGCCACTGTTGACCACTTGTCATTGGATTGACCGTCGTAGTATGAACCGTTGGTGAGGCAGGATAAGATGATGGAAGAATCTGATTGTTACGTAGGAATTTTTGTAACTTCCTACAATGTTTGACCTCATGCCCGGCAAAATTACAAAATCTGCACACTACTCCATGCGACGAAGAGGGCCTGGACTGTCCGTGGGAATTCCCCCCACGTCCACGACGAGCATGTGGTCCTCTACGATCAACGGGGTGAGAGTTGCGTGAATCTGCATGCATAGCCGAATCAAGTGAATGCCCATTGACCTGCGTGAAATGTGCAGTAGGTACAAGATTTTGTACGGACGTTGCTGCCTCTTGGAGTTTTTGTTCATGCTCCAGAAGAATATCTTGAAGCTCCGCAAGAGGAAGCGGAGTGTTGCGGACCCGAATAGCCGATCTGAGTTCACCGTAATCGGATCCAAGGCCATTGAGAATATTGATGACGAGATCTTCCTCCGAAATGGGATTTTGAGCAAGCGCCAGCGCCTCCGAAATAGCGTACATTTCAGCAACATATTCGGTGATGGATCGCCCCCCTTTTGTGGTCCGAGAGAGGGCTGTTTTGAGGGAGATGATCCTTCCCCGCGAAGTACTCGCATATGTGAGCGAGAGTTTGTCCCAGGCCTGTTTTGCCGTGGCCACGGACGAGATCAAGGGTTGGATGGCATCGGCGCAACTGCCGAGTAATGCACTGATGATAGTGCGGTCTTGACGGTACCAAATGGTATAGCATGGATTAAACTGAGTCTTGGCGGCATCTAAGAATTTGTCCGGGGTAGTGAGGGACCCATCAACGTATCCATCAAGATCAAGACCAACTAGGGCGGAATGGACTTGACACTTCCAGACGGGGTAGTTGGACGTGGTGAGTTTGATGGGAAAGTGGGTTGCCGCCGTAAGGGATACAACCGGAGTGGTAGGGGTGATGATCGTCATAGGTGAATCGGAAAAAAAATCAAGCTCGTTAGAGAAAGGCTCTTGATACCATGAAGAAGTATATGAAAAGTATTGTATTGATTGTATATACTCGACGTACGTACATGGATTATATAGGCTTACAATAGCCTTGATAAGAGCTGCTAACTAACTGCCACTAGCTAAGGGATAGAGCTAATCATACGTATGGGATAATTACAAATAACAAATACATATGTTGACCGTATGGGATAATTACAAGGGATAAATATATAATAATAATAATATTATGATTCAATACTTCACTGGTAAAGTAACACATTTTGAGGTGGCGGAAAATTTTAGCCTATTGACCCAAATGTCATCATGTTTTTTCGCTTAGATAATAAATCCAAGGCAGAAGTGGTGTGAGAATGGTGGGAGAAGGGTTTCGGGGGATGTGCGCATATCACTAATGCACCTATGGGTTTATGAAACAAAAGACCCGCAAACAAAAAAATTATAGTTTTTTGGCCACATATATACATGTTCACGTATTTATAGTATAAAAATATACTACGTATGTTCAAATACGAATCTTTGACGCCACACTCGGACCTCACTAATCTGACATTTCTAGCTCTACCATTGTTTGAAAGCACAACAATAATCTCAAACCTCAATCCCATAACAAACATAGAGTTCCACCCAGGGCTTCATCACTCCCATTGTTCATAAATCATAACACACCTAGCCACAACGCTCTCCTTCGTAACAAAGAGTGAAAAGATTCTGAAGAAAGCATACTCAGGAGCATCGCCAATAAGATGAAAGTGAAAGAATATATATGCTCTGAAGAGAATATTTTATTGTAATTTTTATTGGAAATTAAACCATACAGAAATGAGAAATACATTATGCAACGCTTTAAAGTTTAATAATGTGTTTTGCCCAGTATATAGTGGGTGCACACATATACTGCAAAAGTGAATCAGAACTTGTTGAACATTTCTTTTTAGAGGGAAGTCATATGACAACACCCTTCTCAGCCAAATAAGTCAATCAACTATTTAGGGAGTGTTTGCAACAGTTTCTGCTTAAAAAAAGCTATGTTGTAAAAACCGGACCGGAGAGTGGCCCGGAGCGATGGCCGAGTCAAGGGTCAACCCGGACCCGGCGGGTCAGCCCGGTCAACGCCCGGAAAACCCGGTCAACACACACATATAATATTTAATATTTATACACATAAATATGTATATTAGTATATATATAGGTTGAAAATGTTATTCCTTCATACATTAATAATGATGATACAATATAATTCAATTAATAAATTATTATTTTAGAGTTGGTTTACAAAAAAAATTAGATTTGGTTGTAGATGGATAAAATATATAGATATGACAACAATTACAAAATATTCAAAATATAATATATATATATATATATATATATATATATATTTTCACATATACTTGAAACATGAAACATAAAACGGAGTATACATAATGGGAAGTATAATATAAACATGAGTGTATAACTATATATGTATTATTATTATTTTGAATTGTTTAGTTAACCAATAGTTAATGCTTAATAAATACTCCTTTGTGGGGCAAAAAGGTACGTAGTACGTATGTGTGTATTATAATATCATCATAGCTACACATCTTGCCAAAAAAGGAAGCTGGTCAAGTGGAATGAAAGCCAAAATGCTACCCCGGTGGCGCAGGTTCGAGTCCAGCATACGCCATTTCGTCCCAATGTCTGGGTTTTGGAAAAAAACTGGGTTTCTGCGGTTCCGGGTGCGGGCTGGTTCTACACGGGTCATTGGGTTTTTCCGAGTTTCATCAATTAACGGGTTAAACGATAACCGAACCGGATTTGAAGCCGGGTGACCGGGTTCAGTGATTTGAAAAAAGTGATTAGTTGTAAAAGTTGATAGTGTTTGGAAAAAATGTGATTTTGAAAAGTAAAAGTTGATAATGTTTGGTAAAATAAGTGCTTTTGGTGTATAAAAGGGGGAAAACATTTTTGACACGAAAGTCGAGAAAATTAAAAAATTGGTAGTGGTTTTTTTAAATTGTTGCAAACCAACCCGCTTATTCTACTTATACATGGCTACCAAAAGGACAATAACATTAAGAATTCATTGCTTCGAATAGTCCATAGCTCGATATCATCGATCCAATTCTGACATTTGTACTTCCCATTTTAATGTGCAGTAGCCAGAAAGACGAGTTGTAAAAACCGACTACTTCAAAGTATGCACATAGCAAAGGACTAACATGTTCAGGGCCTGTTTGGAGCGGGAAAATATTAGGGAAAGAAAATGAGGACATTAGAAGGATATGGCATATAAAAAAGGCTAAAGGGTCAAATAGGACCTTGTACCTGTTCGGCATGCTTAATTCACGTCTTGAACTAAAAAAAGCTCTAATTTACTCCTTGAATACGACAAAAAACTTCAAATCCCATTTTTTACAGGTGAGTTTCCAGTCATTGCCACGTCGGCCGGTTAGATGTCAACCGTACATCTCACGTGGAAATCTAAGGGGTCAAATAGACCCCTGAACCTGATAAAGTTGTTCAATTTACCCCTCAATTGTTAAAAAGTGTCCAATTGCCATTAAAAAAAATAGAAAATAAAAATAAAAATAATATACATGTTCATAATATAAAATATATAAGTCTATTTATAATATGACAATAAATTATTTATATTTTAGGGTAAATTAAATATATAAAAAATATAAGGAAAATAATACAAAAAATACAAAATTTAATATTAATTTGTAAAGAAATGTATAGTTGATTTTTTAAATGGATTTAAAATATTAAAAAAATTTAGTGAATTTGTTTTGTTTTGTTTTATGTGAATTTTCCACAAAAAATAAGTATATATTTATATTTAAAGTAAATTCATATAAGGATATATTTATATTTAAACTAAAAGAAATTCATTAAAACTATTTTTATATTTTTAATATTTTTTAGATTTATATATAAAATTACACACACATGCATATATGTATATATACTTCGTATTATTTTATTCTAGAATTATATACTATGTACTATACTTTATACTAATTATATGCAACATAAAAATTTTATACTATATAAAAATTATAAAATTTCATCACGCACGTGCAACGCGCGCGCACACAACCACCCACCCACACCCCCCCCCCCCACACCCCCCCACACACACACATATATATATATATAATCTAACCTGAAATATAAAAAATGTCTTATTATATTATAAATAGACATCTATATTTTATATTATGAACTTGTATATCATTTAATTTTATTTTCTCTATTTTTTTAATTGCATATTTTTAATCGCAATTTGGACACTTTGTAACAGTTGAGGGGTAAATTGAACAACTTTGTCGGGTTTAATGGTCTATTTAGTTCAGGGGTCTATTTGACCCCGTAGATTTCCACGTGGGATGCACGGTTGGCAATTGGCATCTAACCGGCTGACGTGGTGATGATCGGAATTTTACCTGCAAAAAATGGGATTTGAACTTTTTGAGGGGGAATAGACATTTATTCAAACTAAACAAACCTACTTTAGATATTTGAGCAAACTCATTTTATAAACAAATTTCTATTACACAGAGACTACTAAATCTATATACACACATACACGCATATTATTTTCAGTAATTTTAATCAAATTAGTTTTTACTTGGCATTTTTTCCGATTCTCTACATTTGCCGAGCTCAAAACATAGCCTTAATGTGCAAGGCAGAGTTTACTCACTGCAAGTTCAAAATCCCCAGACATGCCCATGGACATCTCGCATTGCTCTTCAGCTATTTGAATTGTCTTGCATACCTCACTTCTACAATTTGCCAACGTCTAGAAGAAGCAGCAGTATATTGTATTAATAAGCCATTCATTTTTGGAGAAGAAAACTAATTGATGACATCAGGTGACAAGAAACCTTAAAATTCTCTTGTGTCGATATATAATCAGGCATTCCAATTGTCACAAGGCCACAGAATTCAAGGTAAGGGCAGCTTGAAGTAACATGTTGGACAAGGCTCACACACCCAGCTGGTTCAATGCGATATTTACCTGCAAAAAATATTAGAAACTTATCTTTCCTTTTCTCCTGTTAGAAGATTATTTATTTTATAAAGAAACAACTAATAAGTAAGAGACCTACTCATCCTTGTTTACTCACTTTTACCTGCTGGCATATTTTAATAATTTATGATCATCCCAGAAGACCTCCTGCAATAGCTATGCATATTTTCATCAGACTCCACATGTTGGCATATTTTCAGACTCTACCTGCTGGCATATTTTTACTCCCTCCGTCCCACAAAATTCTTCCCAGTTTGACTTGGCACGGAGATTAAGAAAGTGGAACAAAGTGGAAATGTATGGTTGTGGTTGTGTAAGAAAAAGGTGAAATGAATGTGAACCACACAAATTGTCCAAAAATGGTAAGTGGGAAGAATTTTGTGGGACGGTCCAAAAAGGAAAGTGGGAAGAATTTTGCGGGACGGAGGGAGTATAATTTATGATAGCCAGTCAGAATTTTTTCATCAGACTCCACCTGTTGGCTTCAAACATAGATAGGCCTAGTCCAGCTGAGAATTTCTTCCTCCAGTCACTGGTGCATAAATTTTGCTTTTGACGGGAGCACCTTCTCAGACGTGAAAATAATACGGAGTATTGCTTTAGACGCAGTATCTCGTTAAAGTATATCAGCCACATAATTGAAGGTCAGGCATGATAACCATCTCCCTGCTCTCCCTGCTCAATATGTTTAAAAGAGACACGATGTTTTCATGTTCAGGATGAGAACTGTGGCCCATGAAAAACGCTGTGATATTTCCTTGCAAGTCGATAAAACTCCATCCTGGCAGTTTTTTCAGGCCAAGATTCTTCATTTGGAGCCACACCTTACCAACCCTCTCCCACTGTGTATTCGAAGCATAGCTACGAGCCAGTTGCACATATTTCCCAGCATCATCAAGTTCCAACACAGATATCTCTGTGGCAATAAGATCCCCCATATCTACCAAACCCTTCTTTCCTCTACAGGAATCAAGCAGTATACCTAAAACATCAATCATTGGATTTGGGAACCATGTTTTATAAAAACCATAAGCATCTCTAACCCTACCGGCTCGACAAAGGAGATCAACTACGCAAGCACAATGTTCAACTTCTGGCTCAATTCCAAAATCATTCCTCATGGACTCGAACAAGTTCATTCCTTGCTCAACAAGTCCATTGTGACTACATGCATACAAAATAGTCAAGAAGATGACACTGTTTGGTACCGTTCCACTTTCCACAAGCCTTGAGTACAACTCCAGAGCAATCTTTCCTTCTCCGTGGCTGCCATAACCGGCAATGATTGTGCTCCAAGAAACCAAATCATGTTCCTCCATCTTGTCAAAACACTTCTTGGCAGTATTCATATCACCACACTTGCAGTACATATCAACCAAAGCAGTGTCTATCATGATGCAAGGTCCAAGACAGGTCCTGATAACAAAGTTATGAACCCACTTCCCCTGCTGAAAACCTCCCGTCGAGGCACAAGCTTGAAGAAGGGAAACTATGGTTATTGAGTCAGGTTTTTGATGGGTTATTCTCATTCCATTGAACATATGGAAAGCAGTTGACAAATCTCCGTTCTGAGCATGCCCTGCAACAATGGCATTCCATGACACCAAATCTTTTTTCTCTATCATATTGAAAATCGCAAGGCTTTGCTTTAAAAAGCCGCATTTAGAATACATAGTGACAAGAGAGTTTTGGGCTGGAGAGTCCATCACTATTCTTTGCCTCACTATGTGACCATGTATTGAAGTTCCCACTTTCAATAAACCCAACTGTGAACAAGCAGCAAGTACACTGGCTAAGGTGTTAGTAGATGGTATAGTTCTTGAATCTAGCATCCAACGGAAAACTTCCAATGCTTTTAGTGGATGTTCGTTTTGAACAAGACCTGAGATAACAGATGTCCACAAAACTGCATCCTTATTGTTTGCTTTCTCAAAAATATGAAACGCGTATTCCAATTGTCCACATTTAAGATACATTACTATAAGTGATGTTTCAAGATGTACATCTAATTCAAATCCATGGGCTATGATCTGACCATGAGCCAATCTTCCTATTTCAAAACTACCCCCTTTTGAAATTGCAGAAACCAACGACCCGTATGTTTGAGAATCAGGATCTAGACCCTCAAACCACATCCTACGCATAAGACTTAGTATTTCATTCGTGTTTCCCATCAAAATGTAACCAGAAATCAATGAATTCCAGGAAACAACATCCTTTTCATGCATGGATTCAAACACTTCCCTTCCGCAGTCAACCCTTTCACATTTACTGTACAGGCTTAACATGCAATTCATCAAGACTAAGTTAGATGTGAAACCATATTTTACAATACTAGAGTGAAGACATCTCACGAGATCACTCTCTGTCACTCCAGACAACAACGTCAAAACAGTAACTGCACTGGGCTTTATCATATCCTGCTGCATAGAGCTATACAAGAGGAGTGCATTGTTAGTATCACCGTTCCGAGCATAACACCCGATAATTGCTGTGCACGGAACAATACTCTTCTCGCGCATTTTATCGAACACATTGCGAGCTTTACCAGTGCACCCATATTTAGAATAAAAGGTTATCAAAGACGATGCAATGTAAGGATCAGCACAGAACCCATTGACGAGCACGTGTTGGTGGACAGAAAGACCGAGATGAAAGAGGTTGAGGGAAGTGCATGCTTTGAGGAGGCTAGGATATGTAAAGGTGTCAGGGGGAACAGAGGCTTTTAGCATGGAGGAATAAGTTAGTATGATTTGGTGGTAGGCACCTTCGTGGGAGAGGCGGTTGATGATTGCATTGAATGACTTGGTGCAAGTAGATTGAGGAGATGACAATGGACAATGAAATGTGTTGGGTAAGAGCTTGTTCATCGTGCATGGTTTCTTTCTAGCTTCCCTTCAAAATGCTGGGTTCCATTCTCTTTTTCTTCCACTGTCAAAATTCATTTTACGGAACACTTCACATGATTTATATTGTTCTGTCTATTTTCTTACAAACAAAAACTGCAAATTCTATTTAGTGTGCTATTTAGATAAAACATGCACTAGGTGAACTATAATTATATACATACACACACACATATGTATTTGTTATATAAGTAACAGCGCATCAGTGAACTATAACATTTGAGTTCCCTTTCATATTCAAATCAAGTTAATATCAGTACTAACTTCTATATTTCAAAAATTATAAATGAAAAGATTTTGGATTTTCTATCCTCAATATTAACTTAGGTCATCAAATGACAGATATAGGAAACTCAAGTTACTTAACATACATTGTATTTTGGAAAATAAGAATATGTTTTATGTTATGTCTTCAGAATTTTAGCATAACTATGAATGTCATACTTTCTTAACTTCCATATTCCTGCTTCTAATGATGGTCAACTTTTTATTTTATGGTACAAATATTACTTGCTGATACATTCTCTTATTATTTGTTACTTTCAACTAGGGTAATGTAAACATTCAGATGCAGCATGCATGGAAGCAGTTCAACATATAGTAAGAGGCCGAAAAGCTGAACCAGGGCGTATTTCACTATTTCCTAGCTGGTTTCTAGAATGTATAACAACAGAATGGATGCATGTTGCAACACAGATTCAGATATAGTAGTAAATCAATCAATTCCTTCAAATAAACATCTGCTATATACAGTCAATTGTTTCACCTCTTAATAGAAAAAGATGGACGGGGATACAGAGCTTTGTTTTATTATTGTTTGGGAGAGTTAATATTGAAGTGGTCTGCACTTTATCAATTACCTCTTCAGATCCTGCCCATCAATATCCACTATCCACTCATTAGCACCTCTCAAGTCTAAATTCCTCCCCTTCATATCAACAACTCATTCATACCCCCTCCCCCTCAATTTTTGAACTCGTATATGCTTTTGGAACAAAGCCTAGGCTTTAAATACTTAGTGATGCAACAATTGATGGTATGCTATAAGAATCCCCTCCCCTTCTATTAATTAAATATGTGTGTGCTTTTGTTTTAACAATTGGCTTTACACAATGATGGTGATGCAATAATTGATGAGACCGTTTTATACTGAGACCGTTTTTTTAAAAGTAAGATACTATCTAGTGATCAATCTAGTGACAAAAAATCAGAAATTTAAGATAAAAACCTGATAATATTTGTGTGTTTGGTGTGACTTGTGATAAAAATATGGAAATACGGGATTACATCTATCTTCTTCTTTTCCCTGATGTTGAGCTTCTAGATGTGTAAGAAAAATTGAAAAAAATGAAAGATTTAATTTTACCTAAGCAAGATGGTCTTTTTCTCATTCATGGTGTAGGATGCCAGTTTTCTTTGAGGTCACCACCGGCTCGCCGGTACTGGTGAAATGGTTGAGAAATTCAGCCGACGATTCTTCGAGGCTTTCGTTGGAGTCTGCGTTACCGACGTTTGAGTGTTCCAGCGAGATTTGTTTGCAAATGATTAAATAAAAGCACTTTTTCTTATTTTAATAAAAGTTGATAGTGTTTGATAAAATAAGTGCTTTTTGTGTAATAGAAAAAGTAAAAAGTAGATTCTACACAAAAATCGAGAAAATAAAAGTTGATAGTGTTTGGTAACATAAGTGTTTTTTTCTTTAAAAAATGCCAAAATCAATTTTCTTAAGTGATTGCAAACAAGCCTTAATTAGCGGTGGGTAAAGAAATGATTTTGAAAGAATAAAAAATGAGCTAATTTGAATTTGCACCCCATTTTATTGTATGAATTGAATTTTGCACCATGTTTTTAAGAACCTTTGTTTTTGCATCTCAACCCCGTAAGAAAAGACAAAAATGCCCTCCATTAACAATTCTGTTCACCTTCAATATATTCCTGATTGAGGGGCATTTTTGTCTTTTCATACGAAGTTGAGGTGCAAAAACAAAGAATTTTAAAAACGGGGTGCAATGTCCAATTTGAACAATAAAATGGGGTGCAAACTCAAATTACCCCATGAAAAATCTCCTTCTTAGGGCATATCCGGAGGTCCATTGTCGACCTCATTGTCAAAAATCAAAATGCACCTTTTATATGCACTTTTTTTTATAGATAATATGTTTTTATTTAGACGGTTTTCAGTAGTAGCAGACTTTTAGAATTTTAGTTGAAAGAGAATTTCTTTTACCTGATTAAGCCCACACACCTATCTATCCTAATTGTACTAGGATGTTCGAATTCTCTTCTATAAATACAGGCAGAGGGGTCAAACAGCCTAAGACTCTACACGATTAAATTAATTTGACACTTATCATTCTCGTAGAGCACCTCTAGTTTTTCCTTGGACTGTTTTCAGTCCCTAACCAGACCAAACGAGACTTAAACAGACCAGACTACAGACCAGACCAGACTTAAACAAACCATATCAGACCAGACTTGACTTCTGTAATTATAAAATACACATACTTGGAGAAAATACTTTATGCAAAGTTCAAAGTTGTGTTTTACCCAATATGTATTTTGGGCCATACCTTGGCTTGTTCGTTGCACTTGATCGGCAGCCAACGGCGACTTTATCCCTTCCGGCGGAAAGTAATCTGGCAGGTCAATGCACTGTGCACAACTGACTAGCTGAGTCTTATTTCAGGTTGGGGACTTCGTGTATATACGTATAGCCCTTCGTGTATATATAGTACTACGTAGTACTTCCTTCGTTCTGTTTTAGTTGCAACGGAACATTTCACATTTGGTAACGCACGTCTTTGACCGTAATTATATCTTAATCTCTATTAGTAAAAAAATAAAAATCGGATTTTGAAACTTTGTAATGAGATGAATTGAACAATATCTTAAAAAAAATTCATAAAATAATAGTGTAAAATTTAGTCAAAGTAGAGCATGTGAATAGTGTAAAATTCAATATGTTGCAATTAAAAAGAAACGGAGGATAGTATATACGTAGTACTCCGTATATAGTTGTCGGACCCCTTCCTTTTTCTTTCGTTTCTCTCTCTGCATTTTGCCAAGCCCCAAATGCCGAACGCTGATTCATACTCCCTCCGTTTCTAAAAGAAAGTCACGGTTTGACTTCACGATTATTAAGGAAATAAATTGACTTTACTGTAGAAAACACTGTTTAGACACTGTTTGGCACTGTTTGGCACTGTTTGGATGTAGATTTCTTTGCCAAATAAGGAAATAAAGGAAGTGTGACTTTGTTTTTGAAACATTCCAAAAAGAAAAGTGTGAGTTTCTTTTAGAAACGGAGGGAGTATCCCTCTTCAGTCTTCCCTGCCCATTGGTCTTTTTATGCCCCTTCTATTCCCAAAGTCATATTTCATTTCCATTTTGTCAGGTTAGAGAAGCATAAATAAAAAACCATGAGTATTAACTCTTCTCCATCTTTCGTTCGATAAAAAAAACTCTTCTCCATCTTTGTTTTTGAATGAACTCTTCTCCAACTTTCATTCTGTATTTTTTCAACAATCTATAACTCTTCTGTATTGTTTCTTCATCTCTATTTTACAGTAACTTAACCAGGTCGGCGGGTTCCTGGTCAACCTGACTGGTCCGGTTCAGGTTAAGCATTGTATTTTCTTCCTTTAATAGGAAACAACCATATTAATTTGTAATAGGAACATAAAATAATTCATAATTTAATAGGAATATCATATTTTAATTTCTAATAAAAACATAAAAATAATAAAAAATATTTTAATTTTTTTATCATAATATTATTCTCTCTGTATTTAAAAGTTTGCTACGCTTTCTCATTTGGAATACATTTTAAAAGTTTGCTACACTTTCACTTTTTGTAAGTTTTTCTTATAAAAATACTCAATTACCTATACTTTTTCTAGTTTTTATCATATTTTTCCTACTTTTTCACATTCTTTCTTACTTTTTCTACACTATTCACTACTCCTACTATTTTTCCTTAAATATTGTGTCAAGACCTAATGTTGTGATCTTTTAAATACCGAGGGAGTATAAAATTGTAAAAAAAATAAAATAGTCAAATGTATTTTTGAGATTCATAAGAATAATCTATACTTTTAGGGATTCTATAATAATAATTCTTACTGAGAGTGTATAAAAATAATCCGAACTAGCAATAGTGTCCACGAGAATAAATTGGGGTGAACTCAAATTAGTGCCCGTTTAAAACTATCGATCCCTGCTCTCACTTTTATCTTCACCACTCTTCTTATCAAAGTGAATTAAAACTAAAACCCGTTTAATGTTAATGTCATTTCTGCCATATAATGTTCTTTCTAGGATAGAAAACAGAAGTGTTACCCGAAAAGAAGAATGGTGAAGGGGAAAGTAGAGGTAAGATTTGGGAGAATTAAATGGGAAATAATTTCAATTTATCTCAATTTATTCTTGTGGACACTATTGTTGGTTCATATTATTTTTATGAATACTCTCAGTAGGGATTATTGTTGTAGAATCCCTAAAAGTAGAGATTGTTTTTGTGAATTTCGCCTTAAAATAATATAGTAATAAAAAAGTTTAAAAATTGCATTTTATTACTCCCTCCGTCCCTTAAAACTTTGTCTCTTAAAAATAATATAGTTTAAACTTTGCATTTTATTACTCCTTGCGTCTCCAAAAAACTTTGTCACTTTCCCTTTTATGTGACAAACCTCAACCACACGTTTTTTACTTTATTATTCTCTGTGCCGGTCAACTTTGGCAAAGTTTTAAGGGACGGAGGTAGTAAAAAATTTAAAATTTAAAAATATAGTAAAATTTAGATAAAGCGCGTAAGAAACATATAAACTTTGGAGGTCTTATTCTCAGCCTCTGCCACCTTCAGCAATGCCACCTCCAATCGGTGAAAAAAAATGTCATTTTGCTCAAAAACTGTCTTTTTTCTTTGAAAATAGCATTAAGATGACATTTTTACTGTTTAAACGCCAATTTTTCTCTAAAATTGCCATTAAGATGACATTAGTGACACATGTTGACATTGTTCATTGGCCGAAGTGGTAGGAGTTGGGAGGTTGTTGAGGCGGCAGCAGATAGATCTGTTCGCGGTCCTAATCCAAACCGAAACCGAACCGGCGGTTCTGAATTTCGGGGAAATGGAACCGCAAAGTACAAGTTCCGAAACCGGTGGTTCCGGTTCGGTTCATTTATTTATTTATTAATTTTTATTTAAAATTAAATTTAATTTTTATAATAGAGTATGCAATAAGTAATAAGATAATTTGAAAGAAACACTTCCCAAAAGATATTAATATAATTAGTAATTATTATTTCTATAACTAACTAAACTAGGTTTTCCGTTTAATAACTGGATAGTTAAAAACAAAATAGTTTCTTGAATAAAATAACTAAGTCATTAGAAATGCTAGTACAAATTTAGAAGAAAGTAACTTTAAAGTATTCTACTAATTTAAAAATTGTGTATTCTTATAACTATAAGTTTTGTAGAAAAAATTACACAAATATAAATAGTACTGACTAAAAATTATATTTTCAAAGTATTATAATCTTTATGTATTATTCTTAGTATCATAACTATTTTTAAAGTTATTAAAGTATTATATCCATCATTATTATCTTTATGATTATTATTAGTATTATTTATTATTATTATTTTTTCTAATAAAATTCCAGTTCCAAATTTTTGAAGAATAGAACCGGACTAGTAAATATCCGGTTCCAAACCGAATGCACTATGCGATTTCGATTCCAGTTCCGATTCCGGTTAAAAAACCGACGATTCTAGTTCTAGTTGAAACATAAACCGCGAACGGGTCCAGCAACAAAGGCTTGCATTTGTTTACGTTTTGTTATTTTTAATTTAAGTTTTTTAGTTTTATAACTTCTTCTTTTTATTAACTTTTTAATATTTAATTTCGTGTTTTTTTTTGTTTTTTTACATTTTTATTATTAATAAAGTTATTTTATTACATTAATGTTTTTATTATTAATGAAATATGAATAGTATTAAAACAAAGCAGGGGTGAGATTGGAAATGTAGTAAGTAATATTTAGGAAATTTTATAGTCATATTCATGCAAATAAAGGTTGGTTTAGTCCTATTTGTGGAACCAACCTTATATGTAATCACTGTTCTAACAATCGCTCTAGACGTCCAACTAGTCTCTGCTTAGGCGCTAGGTGGTGGCCCGACGACCCAATTTTAGTCTAGACACTCCGATTAATTGATTTGGCGTCCAGGTGAATAGTCGACCGTCTAGGGCGGCTAGGTGCCCACCCAAAGCGCTTAATCGGCCGCCTAGACATTTAGATTCGTTGAATATTGTATTTTAGTTTTTTTATTTTAGTATCATAAGATATATATGTATCTTTAACTTTAAAAACGCATATGAAGAAAACTACTAGTGGGTGAGTAGCTATAATGTAATTAAATATGACAACTCTATTATTCATACATGTTGATGTGTATGTGTGTGTCTATATATTCTACACAAACAAACAAAACATTACTAATCTTATTTATGCAAAAATATTGATAAAATTGT